AATCTTTTGGTTACATTTTAATGACCAAAATCATGTTTAATCAATTGAATTCATAAAACTTTAACAATTTATACATTTTTTTGCATTTATAGGGCTCTATCAAATGTTTTATTTTGAATATTTACGTGTTGCTTATTTGAATATTTCTCGATTCCATCTGCATTTTCTGTCTTGCTGAGATCATAGGGCCTTATTTACACTAGTTTGCTGGTTTAACCTGGTCTTCTGGCCTGGAGAAACTGGTGTTTAGCTGGTTTAGTCTGAAAAGCTGACAGCTCTTCTAAAACTAGCGACCCAGAAAAGTCTTGGAGACCAGCTTTGGCCAGTTAAGACTTTTTTTCAGCCAGAAGAGCAGGATCATAAAGCATCTCAGCTACTTGAGACTAAACCTGTGACTTTTGTATAACCAGCTCTAATATTTAAACATTTACATTAGCAGCACATGTGTTTTATGATATGGTTTTGTTTTGGTTTGTTTTGCTCATGTGAGCTGATTCTCTTTCTTCTCCTCACAGGTGATGGTATGAACGCTTACATGGCCTACAAAGTTTCAACACAGGTGATTTTCAGTCTCGTTAATCATCCTGTTCACACTAACACACAATATGACACACAGTTTAAATCTCACCGTTTTCTCATTGTTTCCCAGACATCACTAACCATGTTCCGTAGCAAGACGTTTACCGTCCGCAGACGTTTCAGTGATTTCCTGGGATTGTATGAAAAGCTCTCGGAGAAACACTTACAGAATGGATACATTGTACCTCCACCACCAGAGAAGAGCATTCTGGGTAAGAACGTGCTCTGCTAATGCATCAGATCTGATCTGATTGTGAATACGTGGCTGATTCTGAATAAATGTGCGTGGATTTGACAGGTATGACAAAAGTCAAAGTTGGGAAGGAGGACCCATCATCAGCAGAGTTTGTGGAGCGGAGGAGAGCTGCTCTAGAGAGGTTCGTCACTCAAGATGACATTGGTTCTTATCTAGGTGCACTGAAGGAAATTGCTGAATCCTAATTCTTCTGACTGAGTTGTCAACAGTGTGGCATGTTAGAACTTTTTGTCACTCATTCGGTTTCTCTTTTTGTTACATTGTGCTAAGTTGCCCTGCCTCCAATGAAATCTTACTGGTCTAAAATCTCAAATTGCTGCTATACAGTATTTTAATTTGAATGAGGACTGAAAAATTACTTCGGCTGGATAATATAATATAATATAAAAATACTATTGTATAAGTAATTAATATTAATGTATATATTTTAATTAATGTGGACATAAAAATTACTTAGATTGAATAATATAATGTCATATAATATAATAATAGTTAATAGTAATTAATATTAATAAATAATTACTTAAGTTACATAAATTAAATAATATAATGTTATATAGTAGTAAATAACATTGTATATTTTTAATGAGGACAGACAATTACATACATATTATATGTAATATAATGTTATAATTAATACTAATACATTTTTTATTTTAATGTGGACAGATGTAATATAATGTTGGTGCTAACTAATTTTAATATATAAAAATTTTAATGTTGACAGAAATGATTAAAATTGGATAATATAATTTAATATTGATTACTGCTAACATTATTTACATTTTTAATATTTAATATATATATTATAAAATACTTAATATCCAAGTAAACTAAGTATTATATATATTGATATTAATTACTACAAACATTGAATGTATTTTTTCTGTCCTCATTAAAATGTAATTATATAATGATATTTAGTCAAGTCACCTTTTTATAATGCTTTATACAATAAAATATTAATTACAATTTACATTGTATTAGATTATTTTATAATATATTTTTATTGTATTATCTAATCTAATGTTACTGATTATTTAAATTGGATAATATAATGTTATATTATGTTAGTAGTAATTAATATATATTTTATTTGTAATGAACAGAGAAAAATTACTTTGAGTAATATAATTGTAGTAATTAATATTAATATATATTTTCATTTTAAACAAAAAAAAAAACAAATTTTTACACCGTCATCTAAATGTTAGTAGTAGTTATTATTATTCTACTTATTGTATTTATGTCACTATTTTAAAATGTGAGGCTTGTTTGTGTTGTTGCAGATATCTTCAGAGGGTTGTGAGTCACCCGTCTCTGCTGCAGGATCCTGATGTGAGAGAGTTTTTGGAGAAAGAGGAGGTGAGACAGCTTCTGTTTAGTGACCTAAAAATTAAAATTTTTAATTATTCAGCACATGCAACTGCAAAATTCAACATTAGCATAAACCTTTCCTAAGAGAAGTGACTTGCAAATGTTTATCTGTCTATTCCTCACACGCAGAAATATCAGCTTTGCTGTTTGTAATGATAATTTAATGCTCTGTTTGTGTGTGTGTGTTTGTGTGTGTGTGTGTTAGTTACCCAGAGCAGTCAGCACACAGGCTCTGAGTGGAGCCGGCTTCCTTAAAATGCTCAACAAAGCCACAGATGCTGTGAGCAAGATGACCATCAAGATGAACGAGCAGGATGTGGTGAGTGGAAGAACATGAAGGTCTAACCTACACTGATACTGAATACTGGATACTGAATATAAATCTGTGTGTGTGTGTGTGTGTGTGTGTTGGTTTCAGTGGTTTGACGAGAAGATCCAGGATGTAGAAAATGAAGAACAGCATATGCGGAAGCTTCACGTCATGGTGGAATCGCTTGTCAATCACAGAAAAGGTCAGAAGTGCAAACAGTCAGTTTCAGATGTAAAAATTAGCTGAAATTTGCACCTAAATGTAGATATTTATTCTTTAGAAATGTAGAGCAACCCATTTTATTTCTGTAATGTGATATCTATTGAGTGAAACTACTGGTTTCTTACATTTTTAATGTGTGTTTCAGAGTTGTCTGGGAACACGGCTGTGTTTGCGAAGAGCGTGGCGATGTTGGGCAGCTCGGAGGACAACACGGCTCTGTCGCGAGCTCTGTCTCAGCTGGCCGAGGTGGAAGATCGAATCGAGCAGCTCCATCAGGAACAGGCCGCCAACGACTTCTTCACCTTCTCAGAGCTGCTGGCCGATTATATACGGCTGTTGGGAGCCGTCAAGGTACAGACACACAAAACACGCACACAGAAGAAAACTGCTTCAGAGCATAGCTATTGTGTTGTTTGTTTGAGACTTTAATAATTAGCTGGATTGTCCAAAAATGTGTGTATATATATATATATGTTAATAACATAACATTTGTTGATAATTATAATAATTATAAAACACATTTTCAAATATTTGTAGCAATGCAATATAAATCAGATTATATATTTATTATTATTACATTTTATTTTATTACATTTACATATTATATTTGTTATTACATTTACATTTTATTTTATTATTTAATAATTAATAATATAAACAAATATGTAAATACATAACGTATCAATTAGGGCTGTGCAATATATCGAAATTACCGAAATATCGCAAATGTACATATCGCAATATGCATATCGCTACAGCTTGCAATATTTGGAGCCATGAACAAATGACAAAGAGAAAATCACTCACTGCTGAGCATTATCGTATCGCATATCAAATATCGCATTATTTAATGAGTTATCGCATATCGCATTTTTCTTCAATATCGCACAGACCTAGTATCAATCATGATGCTCAAATGTTTAGTCTTGGAGAAATATATCTACAATAAAAAAAAAAGATTATAAATTATTAAAAATGAAGTATTATTATATTTATTATTATTATTATTATGTATTTGTTTCCCAAAGATGTTTAGCATTTTTAGCATATGAATCTGTATGCATCTAATTTTTAATTTTGTTCCTGTTGTAACACCATAAGATTTCAGTCATACCCTCCAACCCTTAATACATCCTATTAATAATAATAATATTGTGATTGTCAGGGTTGTTTTGATCAGAGAATGAAAGCGTGGCAGCGCTGGCAGGACGCAGAGAACATGCTGCAGAAGAAGAGAGAGGTCGAGGCCAAACTCCTGTGGGCCAACAAACCTGACAAACTCCAGCAGGCCAAGGATGAGATCGCTGAGGTAACTGCGCAAGCATGCTACTGTTTGTTTGGTGGAGGTTTTGTAGACTCACTGCTGTTCTACAGATAAACGATAACATCTGTAACCTTAAAGGGGTCATATGATGCTTTTTTAAAGATCATTATTTTGTGTATTTGGTGTAACAGAATATGTTGACATGCTTTAATGTTCAAAAAACACATTATTTTTCA